AAAAAAAAAAAAAAAAAAAAAAAAAAATAATTTACCTTTATCTCCTGTGTCTTGTAAGAGAGTTGAATCTTTACGAGGCTGTATATACACATAAATAAATATATATAATAAACAATAAACCCTCAGGGTTTAGGGTTTAGGGTTTAGGGTTTATTTAGGGTTTAGGGGTTAAGGACTATTCAGAAAGAATATAGCTAGGTCTATTTATTCTCTATTTAGGAGGGTTTAGGGTTTATGAGGGTTTATTAGGGTTTATGAGGGTTTAGCTAGGGTTTAGGGTTTAGGGTTTAGGGTTTAGGGTTTATAAGTTGGAGAAAAGTTGTTGGAGGAAGGCCGCTGGACTCACAACTGTAAAGGCAGCAAAAACAACACAAGCCACAGAAAAGGGTTTAATTAGGGTTTAGGGTTTAATTAGGGTTTAGGGTTTAATTAGGGTTTAGGGTTTATATGAGGGTTTAGGGTTTAATGTTTAGGGGTAGCGGAACGTAAGCAAACAGAAAAAGGCAAAATCTTCTCTGTCTAGGAGCAGCAGCAGCAGCAGCAGCAGCAGCAGCAGCAGCAGCAGCTGTAGCTGCTGCTGCTGTGTTAGTGCTTATTTGCCTTACGCTTAGGTTTCTCTCCTCTGAGGAAAACAACACACACACAACAATTAATAAAAAATTATAAAAAAGCAGCAGCAGCAGCAGCAGCAGCAATGGGAAAAGCAGCAGCAGCAGCAGCAGCAGCAGCAGCAGCAGCAAGAGCAGCTGAAGCAGCACTAGAACAACAACAGCAGCAGCACAACCAAAGAAAACAACAGCAACAAGAGCAACAAAAGAACCAAAAAAAAACAAACAGCAACAGCAGCAGCAGCAGCAGCAGCAGCAGCAGCAGCTTACCCAGGAGGAAGGGAAGCAGATCTCTTATATCTCTTCTCTGGTGGTGCTCCTTCTGTGCTGCTGCTGCCAGCAGGGAGGGACTTAGATCTTCCTGCCCTAGCAATAGAATCAGCAATCTTATCTAATAGTCTTTCTGCTGCTGCTTCCTGTATAAAGACCGGCAGCAGCAGCAGCAGCAGCAGTAATAATACAAGAGGCAGCTGCAGCAGCAGCAAACGAGATCGATGCTGCTGCTGCTGCTGCTGCTGCTGCAGCTGCTGCCCTCTAGACATTCTTAAAGACGACATTGTAAGAGAAGCAATTAAATAAGAAATACTTTTTTCTGCTACTCTTCTTCATCTACTGCTGCTGCTGCTGCTGCTGCTTCTGCTGCTGCTGCTGCGGCTGCTGCGGCTATTCCTGCTGTTGCTGCTATAGAGGACTCTCTCTGTCTCTCTCTTGTATCGAGACAGTACAAGGATCGAGGGAGGGAAGCAGCAGCACAAAAAGAAGTTTGCTGCTGCAGCAACAGATTGTCTTTAAGAAATATTACTAACAAATCAACAACAAGTTTTATTTGTTGCTGCTGTTGCTGCTGCTGCAGCAGCACCAACAGCAGCATCGATCGCTGCTAGCTGCGGGCAGGGATGGAGGGAGCCACCAGAGCAGCAGCAGCTGCAGCTGCTGCTGCTCAGCACCATCGCTCGCGGCTTTTGCTACTGCTGCTGCTGCGGCAGCAGCAGTAGCAGCAGCAGCAAAATGTAGTTAATTTGCTGCTTTTTATTTATAATTATACTTTTATTAATTAAATAAATTAACTAAATCTATACAACAACTACGAATACGCAGCAGCAGCAGCTGCTGCTGCTGCTGCTCTGCTGCTGGTGCTCTAGAACCAGTCCAAAGGTCACTTCGCGTGGCTGCTGCTGCTGTGCTGCTGCTGCTGCTGCTGCTGCTGCCTCTTGTGTGTCTTATTTGCTTTTTTAGAAGCTTTTGCTGCTGCTGCTGCTGTATTTTGCTGCTGTTGAGTTTTCTGCTGCTATATTGCTGCACGTGCTGCTCCCCCCACAGCTGCTGCTGCTGCTGCGGCTACCTACCAGTGGTTCTCCATCCTCTGCTGTTGCTGCTGCTGCTGCTCCTGCTGCGGTTGCTTCTGCTGCTTTATCCTACTAAATATTAATTTTATTTTATTATTTATTTTATTTTTATTTATTTATTTAATATCTCTATTAGCAGCACAATGGGGTGTATAGGCACCTTACTCGCCTCTTCTGTCTTAGGTCTAGATAGGCAGCAGACAGCTGCAGCAGCAGACACTGCAGCAGCAGCAACTGCAGCAACTGCAGAAGAAGAGAATGGAGACACACTCGTAGCAGCAGCAGCAGCAGCAGCAGCACTATACAACCAGCAGTAGCTGTAGGAGCAGCACGAGCAGCAACATTAGCAGCAGAAGCTTCAAGAGCAGCAAAGACAGCACAAGCTGCTGTTGCTGCTGCTGTTGCTGCTCCTCCCGCTATCCTTGCTGCTGCTGTCTGTGCATGCATAAGCTTCTTTTCATTATGGCTACGCTGGTGCCGGTTGCTGCTGCTGCTGCTGCTGCTGTTGCTGCTCCTGCTGCTGCAGTCCTTGCTGCTGCTCTGAGCGACATTAGGGCCCCCCTAAAGGGGCACTTAGGGGGGCCCCTTTTAGTTGTAAACCCTAAACCCTAAACCCTAAACCCTAAACCCTAAAAGTGGGGCCCCTCTTTATTTAGCTAATAATAACAATTAGACCCTTTATAACATATAAATAGCATAAATTATATAAATATAAATATAAATATAAATATAAATATAAATATAAATATAAATATAAATATAAATATAAATATAAGTATATATTTGTATATTTATATATACAAATTAGTTGTAGGTATAATAAGGAAAATAAAAGAGTACTGTCCCCTCAGAGACACAAACAGCAAAAGAACAAGGAAGAGGGGCCCGTCAAGGGGCCCCCTTGTACCCATCAATAAGGAGGCAGGGGCCCTTAAGGGGGCCCTCGTACCCTCCTGACGGTATTAGCGGCCCATTCCTAGGGGCCCCCGATAAGGTGAATACAACAATACCCTGGGGACCCCTAGGAGGGGGGCCCCCCAGTCTTGAAGGGCCCCCCCATAATTAAGGGGCCCCCCGTAATTACCGGGGGGGGGCCCAGGGGTGGTAGAGGCCTCTAAAAGGGGGGCCCCTCCCATCGTATTGTAGCACAGGGGCCCCCCTTCCTCCATTGGGTAATATTTGCCAATATATGCAAACAATACCACGGAGGCCCCCTAAGTAATCACCGGGGGCCCCTGGGATCGTCTAGGGGGCCCCCTTCTTTGTGTGCACGTTATGGGCCCCTAGGGTATCCCATGGGCCCCTGTTGTACCCTAGAGGCCCCCCATTAGGGGGCCCCCTTCTCTTATTAATTCCTTCTTTTCCTTATAAACCCTTCCTATGTTTACCTCCTGAGGTCATAAGAGACTCTCTTATAAAGGCAGCAGCATTGGAGTGCGCAGACTGCTCAAGGGGCCCCTGGGCCCCACGGGGGGCCCCCAAGGGGCCCCCCTCGGGGGCCCCCTCGGTACTAGTAGCAGAGGGGCCCTTCTTAGACATACGCTTCTGCAGGAGACGCAATATGTTGCGATTTTTATCATCTAAACAAAAAAGGAGACAAAAAAGAGACAAAAAGGAGAAAAAAAAAAGAAATAAATAAATATTAATTAAAAAAGGAGACAAAAAGGAGGGAAAAAGGGGACAAAAAAGGATAAAAGGAGACAATGAATAAAAGGAGACAAAAAAAAAGAGACAAAAAAAGGAGACAATAAAAGAATGAATAAAAAGGAGACAAAAAAAGGGGACAAAAAAGGAATAAAAGGAGACAAAAAAGGAATAAAAGGAGACAATAAAAGAAGAAAAAGGAGACAAATAAATAAAAAGAATAAAAGGAGACAACAAAAGGAGAAAAATAGGAATAAAAAAGAAGAAAAAGGAGACAAAAAAGAAGAAAAAGGAGACAAAAAAGAAGAAAAAGGAGACAAAAAAAAGAACAAGGAGGCAAAAAAAAGAAAAAGGAGACAAAAAAAAAGAAAAAGGAGACAAAAAAGAAAGGAGACAAGAAAAAAAGAAAAAGGAGGGAAAAAATAAATATAATATGTTTACCTGCCCAGAAGGGTTTATGATTAGATAAAAGAGGAGACAATTTATTTTCTTCTTTTTTATTTATTTCTTCTTTTTTTCCTTTATTTATTTCTTCTTTTTTTTCTTTATTTGTCTCTTTTTTTTTCTTCTTTTTTGTCTCTTCTTTTATTAATTTATTTAATAAATTAATAGAAGAATTATCCTTTAATAATAATAAAGGTTTTCTTTTTTTTTCTTTTTTTTTTTTATTGGGGGGCCCCCCTTCTTTGTACCCTTTTTTCTTAGAGGGGGGCCCCCCTAAGGAGACACCTTTTGTCTCCCCCATTAAGGAGACAAAAAAAAAAGGAGACAATTTATATTTATTTATTTATATATATATAAAGGAGACAATTATATTTATTTATTTATTTATTTATTTATTTATTTATTGTCTCCTTTATTTATCTTCTTTTTTTGTCTCCTCCTCCCTCTTCCTCTCTTTGTTTCTTCTCCTTTATTTGTCTCCTTTTTCTGTCTCCTTTTTCTGTCTCCTTTCTATTAAATAAATAAATAAATAAATAAATAAATAAAGTAAATAAATAAAATAAATAAATAAATAAATAAAGGAGACAATTATATATATAAAGGAGAAAAAGGGGAAAAAGGAGACAGATAAAGGAGGAGGATAAAGGAGACAGATAAAGAAAAAAGATAAATAATAAATATAAATAAAAGAAGAAAAAAAAGGAGACAATTAAATAAAAAGGAGACAAATAAGTTCTTTTTTTGTCTCCTTTTTCCCCCTAAAAGGAGACAAAAAAGACTATTTATTGGTAATAAATAAATAAAAGAGACAAAAAAAGAATTAAATAAATTAAATTAAATAAAAAAGGCAAAAAAAAAAACAAATAAAAGAAGAGAAAAATAACTTGGGGGCCCCTCTGGTAGCCGTGGGGGCCCCCGAGGCCCCACAGCCCCAAGCAACAGCAGCAGCAGCAGCAGCAGCAGCTAGCAGCAGCAGCAGCAGCAGCAGCAGCAGCAGCAGCAGCAGCAACTAGCGCAGGATTTTTGTTTTTTTAATTCCTTATTGACAACTTTTAGGTGTATACAATCAGACTGTCGCTAACTGCTGCTGCTGTTGCTGCTGTTGCTGCTGTTGCTGCTGTTGCTGCTGCTGCTGTAGTTGCTGCTGTTGCTGCAGCTGCAGCTGCTGCTTTTGCCGTTATTTGTTTGCTGCTCTTTTTATACCCTAGGAAGTATAATGACAAATTCCTATTACCCACGTAAACCCTAAACCCTAAACCCTAAACCCTAAACCCTAATTCATTAAACCCTAAACCCTAATTCATTAAACCCTAAACCCTAATTAACGGACAACAACCGCTACTAATATCCGTACTACTCTGTAGCTAGCTGTACTGTTTGCTGCAGCTAGCTGCTGCTGGCTGCTGCTGGCTGCTGCTGGCTGCTGCTGGCTGCTGCTAGCTACTTGTTACTGCAGCTACCTACTTGTTGCTGCAGCTAGCTACTTGCTGCTGCAGCTAGCTGCAGCTAGCTGGATAAGAAAGGGCTATTAGCCTTATTTGTTTCCCTTATCCAGAGTCTTATGCAGTACAAACGTACTGCAGCAGCAGCAGCAGCAGCAGCAGCAGCAGCAGCAGGTAGCTGCGGTGCTGCTGCAGCGGCAAGTAGCTGCGCTGCTGCAGCAGCAGCAAAAAAAGGAGACAGCAATCAGCAGCACTTTGCTGCCTAAGCAGGAACAGCAGCAGATATATCTGCTGCTGTCCCCTTTTGTGTGTTTGCGTCGCACTTCTTGCTGCTGCTCATGCTGCTGCTGCTCATGCTGCTGCTGCTGCAGCAGCAGCAGCAGCAGCAGAATAAATTACGGTGTCTGTACAGCTAAAGAGTAAATGCTTCCTCTAGCAGCCGCTGCACTAAGAGAGAACATCCTCTTGCTGCTGCTAATATAGGCTCCCTATACACCCGAAGGCGATGCAGGCAATCGCGCATTGCTGCAGCAGCAACAACAGCAGCAGCAGCAGCAGCAGCAGCAGCACAAGCAGCAGCAACAACAATATAAGGCGAGAGATACAAGGAGATATTAGATTACAAAACAGCAACATACAAGATAGACAACAAACCCTAAACCCTAAACCCTAAACCCTAAACCCTAAACCCTAAACCCTCAGGCTTACTCGAGTTAGCCTCCCTCAGCAAAGGAGACAATTTATTACATTGAGGTTCTTTTAGTGCTGCTTCTTGCTGCAGACAAGATAATGCCTACATAGAAATACAGCAACAGCAGCAGCAGCAGGAACAGCAGCTGTAGTGCCAACAGCAGCAGCAGCAGCAGCAGTATTGGCAGCAGCAACAACAGCAGCAGCAGCAGCAGCAGCAGCAGCAGCAGCAACAGCAGCAGAAGCCTACGAGTTCTCGGCTGAGCTGTACAGCCACCTGACTTCCCACAACTCCAAATCCTGCAGCAAACCAACAGCAGCAGCAGCAGCAGCAGCAGCAGGATCAACGGTCTGCTGCAGCAATAGATGAATCCAATGCTATTAACTGCAACAGCAGCAGCAGCAACAGCAGCAGCAGCAGCAACAGCAACAGCAGCAGAAAGGCGTACCTTTACCGAGAGCACTGAGGACGCATAGCCAGCCTGTTAGGGCCTCTGCTGCTGTTGCTGCAGCAGCAACAGCAGCAGCAACAGCAAGCTGCGGATTCGGCGATTCAAGCAGCAGCTGCTGCATAGCAGCAGACTCTGCTGCTGCTGCAGCAGACCAACGGCTTCCAAACAATCCGCCGCTGCTGCTGCTGCCGCTGCTGTTGGGCTGTATGCTGCTGTTGAGTTGCATGCAGCTGCTGTCCATATACTGCAGCAAGACACGCAGAAACTCGCATCGACACGTGCAGCAGCAGCAGCAGCAGCAGCAGACGCCAGCAGCAGCAACAGCAGCAGCAGTAGCAACGGACCATGTTTTGTGCCTGTCTTGCAGCAGGAGAGGAGACACTTGGCAGCAACCGCAGCAAACCATTTTGCAGCCGCAGCTGCTGCAGCACGAGAGCAGCAACAGCATCAAATACCTGCAGCACAGCAGCAGCAGCAGCAACAGCAGCAGCAGCAGACAATACAACAAACGTGTTGCTATGGGGACGGGCACCACGGCAGCAACAACAGCAGCAGAAGCTGTATAAACGGCAGCAGGAATAAGAACATAACAGCAGCAACAACAGCAGCAGCAGCAGCAACAGCAGCAGCAGCAGCAGCATACTGGCAGCTGATCGTCCTGCTGCTGCAGCAGCAAATGGGAGACATCGAGGCCTCTTAGGTCGGTAAGACTCCGAGGGAATACGAATTGCTGCTCCTGCAGCAGCAGCAGCAACAGCAGCAGCAGCAGCAGCAGCAGCAGCAGTCAATAGTGCAGCACAACACAAGCTAGTTAGGCAGCAACGGTTGCATCTAGCTATCTAGCTAAGCAGCTAGCTAGCTAGCTAGATAGGTAGCTAGCTAGATAGCTAAATTGCATGCACTTACCCAGTGTCCCTTGCTGCTGTTGCTGGTGCTGCTGTGGGCAGAGGAGACACATATTTGCTGCTGCTGCTGCACGTAGCGGTTGCTGCTGCGGTCAACAGTTAGCTGCAGGGAGGAGACAGCTTGTCTTAGTCCTAACATCGCCAGGCTCTGCAGCAGCAGCAGAAGCAGCAGCAGCAGCAAGCACACACATGCAGAACCTGCTGCTGCTGCTGCTGCTGCTGTTGCTGTTACTGCTTCTGCTGTTGCTGCTTCTGCTGTTGCTGCTGCTGCTGTGGCTGCTGCTGCTCCTGCTGCAGCAAGTAGGGGGAGAACTTACAATAACATCTGCAGGCACCTGATGCCAGCTGCTAATGTCCTGCTGCAGCAGCACAACTGCTGCTGCTGCTGCCTGCAGCAGCAACAGCAGCAAACCCCACACCAAGACACACATAACCACCTCGTCTATCTAAACATCCAGCAGCAGCAACAGCAGCAACAGAGGCACCAGTAGCAGCAGCAGCAACAACAGCAGCAGCAGCAGCAGCCTCACGTCTCTGGAGGGGCGAGCATGTGCTTGTGCTGTTTGCCGCTGCTGCAGCACAGACATCAGCCACAGCAGCGCGAGGAAGCAGACCCAGAAGAGCCTGCAGCAGCAGCAGCAGCAGCAGCAGCAGCAGCAACAGCAGCAAGGGCAGTAAGCGCAGCAGTACATACACAGACACAAACCCTAAACCCTAAACCCTAAACCCTAAACCCTCATAGTCTAAAGACAACTTACAGCCTCCGTGCTGCTAGATTATCACTTGCTGCTGCTGCTGCTGCTGCTGCTGCAGTTGGTGTAGGTACAAGCAGCAGCTGCTGCAGCCGCTGCTGCAGCACGTGCAGCACAGCAACAGCAGGGGCAGCAACAAGAACTTTTGCTTGCTGCTTATTCAGCATTGCATCCAGCTGCAGCAGCAGCTGCTGAGACATTGCTGCTGCTGCTGCTGACAGCAGCAGCAGCAGCCACGCCCCTGCAGCAATTGCAGCAGAGACTATCAGCTGCACCAGTCCCTGCAGCAAACAGCAACAGCAGCAGCAGCAGCAGCTTGCTGCAGACAAGTAACGGGACAGACGGACCACGAAGCGAACACCGCAGCAGCAGCAGCAGCACCAACAGCAGCACCACCAACAGCAGCAGCAGCAGCAGCAGCAGCAGCTTACAGATGCAACATGAAGAGACAGTAGAGGAGAAGGAGAGGGACGACACAGCAGCAGCACGTGCTGCTGTCTAGCAGCAAATCTATAGCAGCAGGAGAAGCTGCATATACACCCCAAAGCAGCAAACAAATGCACAATTGCTGCTGCTGCTGCTGCTGCTGTTATTGTTGCTGCTGTCTACCCACACGGCAGCAGCAGCAGCAGCAAGGACAGCAGCAGCAAAAGAAGCAGTGAGAGCAGCAGCAGTAGCAGCAGCATACCCAAAGCAAGTGGCCAATAGGATTGCTGCTAGAGGAAGCTGAACCCTGCATTGTGCTGCTATTGCTGCTGCTGCTGCAGCAGCAGCAGCAGCAGCAGTCCATCCGCTAAGCAGCAGCTGCAGCAGCGGGCTAAAGGGGAGAGGAAGACGCGGCAGCACAAAAGCTGCATATACACTCCGATTGGCGCTGCAGCTGCTGCAGTTGCAGTTGCTGCAGCTGCTGCTGCAGCAGCAACTTGCACGACGTGCTGTACGTCCTAGTGCTGCTGCTTGCTGCTGCTGCTGCTGCCGCTGCTGCTGCTGCTGAAATGGTGCCAGGTAAGCAGAGCCAGCTGCTGCAGCGCATGCAAAAAGCAGCAGCAGCAAAAAAAACCCAACATGATGCAGGGTCAGTGTCTGCTGCTGCTGTTGCTGCTGCTGCTGCTTTTCCCCCTCCTCTTCTATTATATATCTATAAGCAACTAGGGTTTAGGGTTTAGGGTTTAGGGTTTAGGGTTTAGGGTTTATACATACTTAAGAAGGAGGAACTCCTAAATAGAAGAGAAAAGAAGAAAAGAAAAACAGACAAAGGCGAAGACCGGCAACGAAATGCTGAGGTGTACAGACACCAAACCCTAAACCCTAAACCCTAAACCCTAGACTTCGTGTTTTGCTGATGGATGTATCGGAGGTGACGCAGAAGACTGTAGGCACCATAAAGGGTTAGGGTTTATTTAGTGTTTGCTGCCTAGAAAGAAGGGTTTAGGGTTTAGGGTTTAGGGTTTAGGGTTTCTTACCGGGACAGAGGACAAGAGCATAGACCACAACAGCCTCAAGGATGGGGCGAAGACACCATCGGAGGTGTGGGGCTGTATAAGTCATTTTTAGGGTTTAGGGTTTAGGGTTTAGGGTTTGGAGGTCGGTGCAGGCAGAGGCCGCAAGAAGAACAATAGCGGCGGCCTATAAAGGCCTCAAGGGGCCCTAATACCGGAGAGGACCATGTGAATAAGATTAGGGTTTAGGGTTTAGGGTTCTAGGGTTTAGGGTTTAGGGTTTAGGGTTTAAGGGGGGTGGAGGAGTAAGGGGGGTTGAGGGTCTTCATACTGCAGAGTTTGTTTCTTATGATTGTTAATAAATTATTTATGATAAATTAGGGTTTAGGGTTTAGGGTTTAGGGTTTAGTGTTTAGGGTTTATTAATTCTGTGCATGCACGAGTGGCGGGGCTGCATGCACCGGAGCTAGCCGGTGTCTGTAGCGCTAGGGTTTAGGGTTTAGGGTTTAGGGTTTAGGGTTTATAACTCCTTATACAGCAGACGAATGATGCGCAGCAAAACACTACAAGAAGGGTCTCTTGCATGTGACGGAACCCGAAGGTTCCCGGCTGCGGGTGCTGCTGCTGCAGCAGCAGCAGCACCAGCTGCTGCTGCTGTAGCACACGTTGCTGCTGCATGCGCACCAACAGCAGCAACAGCAGCAACAGCAGCAGATGCGCCTACAGCAGCAGGTCGCTGCAGAAGGTATAGGGTCTCTGTTAGTGTGTTAGCTGCTGCTGCTGCTCTATTCGTGCTGCAGGTAACCAGCCGCAGCAGCAGCAGCAGCAACAGCAGCAGCAGCAGCCCGGTGCAGCATGAACAGCAGGTGTGTGGCTTCTCAATATCCCCATTTGCTGCTGCTGCTGCTGCACCTCTAGTAACTCTGCTGTATATTGCTGCTGCATATATACCCGAGTGCTGCTGCATTCTCTGGCAGCTGCTGCTGTCTCAAGACACCAGCAGCAGCAGCAGCAACAGCAGCAGCAGCAGCAACAGCAGCAGCAGCAGCAGCAACAGCAGCAGCAAAACTGGCTGCCTTTGTGTGAAGAACCCTAACTCTACCAACAGCAGCAGAACCACCAACAGCAGCAACAGCATCAGCATCAGCAGCAGCAGCAGCAGCAGGAGATACAGTTGGCGTCTGCTGCTGCTGCTGCTGCTGCAGCGTCTTATAGAAAGAGACCCTTTCTCTATTCGTGTTTTGCTGCTGCGCTTTGTCTCTCTTTGTGTTTATTTACCTGCATGGGTGGGGTTGTTGTACTTTTTGCTGCCGCCGCTGCGCTGCACTGCAGCAGCAACAGCAACAGCAACAGCAGCAGTAGCACAAGGAGGAGAAGCAGCAGCAGCAACAGGTGATGAAGCAGTGCTGCGCCTTCAATCATTGCTGCTGCTGCTAGGTATCCCGGTGTCTGTAGAGGGTGCAGCAGCAGCAGCTGCTGCTGCTGCTGTACAGTCCCTTCGCTTCTTGCTGCTGCTGTATGGTGTGTCTCTTTGTGCTGCTGCTGGCTGTCTCTCTCCCTCTTATATAAAGGAGAAAGCAGCAGCAGCTGCAGCAGCAGCGGCAGCAGCACCTAGAGCTGCAGCAGCAGCAGTAAACTGCTGCTGCAGCCTCTTCCGCCCCCAAGATGCAGCAGCCAAAGAATCCGCTGCTGCAAAAACAGCAGCAGCAACAGCAGCAGCAACAGGAGGAACAACAACAGCAGCAGCAGCAGCAGCAGCAAAAGAAGGGAACAAAGTAAAGCTTTTGTGGTTTCTTGTTGCTGCGCCAATAGCGGAGGAAGTAATCTTCCGTGGCGTGCTGCTGCTGCTGTTTGTTGCTGCTGGCTGCAGCAGCAGCAGCAGCACCAGCTGTGTTGCTGCTGCTGCTGCACTCTTTGCTGCAGCACATTGTCATCCAGGTGTATTGAAGGCAGCAGCAGCAACTCTTGCAATTACAACTGCAGCAGCAACAAATTCATCCGCTAAAGCTGCTGCTGCTGCTGCTGCTGCTGCTGCTCCCGCAGCTGTTGCTGCAACGGCGAGTGGCCACGCTGCCTGCGTGCAGCAGCAGCAGCAGGCACAGCAGCAGAAGCAATCTCCGCAGCGTCAAGTGGTGCTGCAGAGGCGAGCCCTGCAGCAGCAGCAGCAGTGTGTCCACTGCTGTGGGGACAGCAGCAGCAGCAGCAGCAGCAGCAGCATGAAGACGAAAGAAGAGGAGGCAGCAAATTCGTTGCTGCTGCTGCTAGCTGCTCGCGATTGGCCCATAGAATCAGCAGCAGCAGCAGCAGATGTCTCTCTATGGCATCTGCTGCAGCAACAGCTGCAGCAAGTGCTGCAGCAGCACCTGCCGCAGCTAATATACACATTTGCCTTTGGTCTTGTTGCGGTGTATGTACACATAAAGAGCCGCTCCCTGCTGCTGCTCCCCATGCAGCAGCAGCAGCAGCAGCAGCAGCAGTTTATGGTGCATGCACCAAATATCTTTGTCTCTGTGGGGCTGCATGCAGTATGCAACTGGGGGGGTTTACCTTGGGGGGCCCCCAAGGGGGCCCCCCAGGGGGCCCCCCAAGATATTGGGGTGTATAGGTACCCTGTTTTGCTGCATGCGCTGCAGCTATTAGGGTTTTTTTGTGGTATTATTGAAGTTATTTTAATGTAAACCCTAAACCCTAAACCCTAAACCCTAGAGGAGTTAGTACAGAAAGAGGGAGTTGCTGCTGTAGGTACTGAGTACTCATACTCATAAACCCTAAACCCTAAACCCTAGAGACAACACGATGCAGCAACATGCTGCTGCTGCTGCTGCTGCTGCAGTCATTATAAGAAAATACCCATAAACCCTAAACCCTAAACCCTAGCAGCAAAAAAGGAGACACTTTATAGCATTGTCTCTTTTCTTAATAAACAGATGCTGACGAAGCAGCAAACAGCACTTGCTGCTGCTTCGTTTCTGCTGCTGCTGCTGCTGCTGCTTAGTGCTTGCTGCTGGCTGGCTGCAGCAGCAAAAAAAAACTACTTATATATAGAGCGGAGAAGCCGGAGACACTGCTGCTGTAGCAATGCTGCGTCTTTGGCTGCAAAGAGCAGCAGCAGCAGCAGCAGCAGATGCTGCTGCTCCAGCGGGGATGCTGCTGCTGCTGCTGACTTCGCAGCAGCTGCATGCATGTTAATAAAAATAGGCTACAACAAGCTGTTGCTGCAGCGAACTGCTGCTGCAGCAGTAGCAGCAACAGCAGCAGCGGCAGAGGCTGCTGCTGCGAATTTTTTTGGGGCTGCATGCACCCAAATAAACCTAACGGATCCTTACTGTTTAATCCCTAAAGCAGCAGCAGCAGCAGCAACAGCAGCAGCAGCAGCACAACGACACACACGCACACACACACAAGCACTAGACCTCAAACAGCAGCAGCAGCAGCTAAATAGCAAATCCTGTTTAATCGCTAAACCCTAAACCCTAAACCCTAGAAGAAAAAAAGGAGACATCTTACCTGCGTATACACCTGAATTGTCTCCTTATCTCCATGGCCCTGCATTTTGATATAAAAATTTGTCCTTTTTATCACTAGGCATTGCTGCAGCAGCAAACACACGCATACAATATATACCTGCTGCTGCTGCTGCTGCTGCTGCTGTTGCTGTTGCTGCTGCAGCAGCAACAGCATCAAGCTAGTTAGGTAGCTATCCAGCTATATAGCTAGCTAACTAGTTACCTCCCTTGGTCAATCTACTTCCTTCCCTCCTTCCCCCGAAAAAACATAGAATAAGGGCCCCCCTCTTCCCACCCCTCTTTCGATTCGTCTCCGTTCCCTCTTCCCGTTTGCGCATCTCCCTATCCATCAATAAATTACGTAATTTATTTATATATCTAGATATATATTTCCTTACCTTGTCTAGCTAACTCAGCTGGCGTAATAAGTCCACCGAATTTCGCATTTTCGAGAATTTCGATTTTTTGATTTTTTTTTTGAATTTCGAAAATTTCATCTTTTGTTGAATTTGATGTCCAAATCAGACGTTCGAATTCCAGCTTGCTCCGTAGCACGGAACGGTCACTGCAGCAGCAGCAGCAGCAGCAGCAGCAGCAGCAGCAGCAGGAGAAGGGGGCAAGAGCAAATGCAGGAGACGCAAATGGAGGAGGACAGGGACAGGATTGGGAGAGGGAGAGGGAACGGTTGTAGGAGATGGATTTATGGGCTTTTGAGAGGTAGTAGTTTGGGAGGTGGCGTGGTAGCTAGTGCAGCAGCAGCAGCAGCAGCAGATGCAGATGCAGCAGCAGCAGCAGGGGAGCTTACATATGGTATCCTACGATAGCAGGTATGAGGGCTAAGCCTGCTATGATGCCAACAAACACTCCCTCTCTTACATACAGAGGAGTGTCACTAACCAAGCTGCAGCAGCAACAACAACAGCAGCAGCGACAACAACAGCAAGAGTAGTAACAGCAGCAACAGCAGCACAAGTATTAATAGCAACAGCAGCAGCAGCAGCAGAGGATCGTTCGTACAGGTAATTAGGGATAAAGAAGAAGAAGACAACAGGCGGAAGAATTATACCCGCCATACAGACAATCATCACAATCTGCAGCACAGCAACAGCAACAGCAACAGCAGCAGCAGCAACAAGTGCAGCAACAGCAACAGTAGCAGCAGCAGCAGAGGGGATAGCAAGTTGACGACCCCGGAGCAATCTACAAACTGTTATAAACTTTCAGTTCCCAACCCTAAACCCCATAAACCCTAAACCCTAAACCCTAAACCCTAAACCCTAAACCCTAAACCCTAAACCCTAAACCCTCGAGCGTACGATTCCTGTTTGGCAATGATCAAAATGTTGCTGCGCTCTTAGCTCAGGGTTTCCTCTTAGTCGCGTATATACCATCATACATACACTTAATACTGCTGCACCTATGGATATTATGCAGCACTGCAGCAGCAGCAACAGCAGCAGCAGAAGCAGCAGCAGCAAAGCAAAGCAAGAGGAGTAATAAGAGCAGCACCAAGAGTAGCAGCACGAGGAGCAGCACGAGCAGCAGCAAGAGAAGAAAGAGAAAGATAATAAATATAAGGACACAGCAACACAATAAAGGAGACAATAAAAAAGAGACAAATAATAATAAAAAGGAGACAAATAATAATAAAAAGGAGACAATAAAGGAGACAAGGAGGAGGAGACAATAAAAAGGAGACAATAAAAGAGACAA